ATCCCAACCTGGCTGCTCAGCTCCGCCCTCACGTCCCTGCGTGCTTCTTCTTGGTACTGATGGGATTTGGAGTTCCAGCATGGAGTGGGGGCGGAGTCCGTGAAACCTGTACCTGTTACAGTTCCACAAAATTTCCTTTGATGAACCAAATGACGAGTTACCAAATATATTTTAATTTAGGAGTTTGGGAAGCTTTGTCACAAAAACAAACAAAAATAACAGTAATGACGATTTTAATTTTTGGAAAACTCTGGCTCAGTTTAGTGCAACAATGTTGACAGTTAAACCATAGCCTTTTAGTTATTTTACTTAATAACTAAAATTTTTTAAAACCTTAATTACTTAAAACTTTACTTTGTCTGACATTGTTAACCCAAGTAAGAGAGATAAAAAAATTATACAGATATAACCTATTTTAAAACAAGTCAGTTATTATAAACATTACATTTTTGTTTGCTTATAACATTTATAGGCACCATTTAAACCAATTTAGAACAACTCAAGGCCAAGACAATTAAACATAAACAAAAAACATACAGACATGTAACACACAGACACAGTTTTTGTTGTTATTCCATGTGGAATCCTGTGTAACTGCAGTTTTGTTTATAGAGGCCAGAATGATAAAAATATTAATAAAAATGAAAATAAAAACAGAAAAAAGAATAAAAAATTTTAAGGAAATATCAAAATTAAGACTGAAGGCCTTCTTATAAAAAATACTGTTAGCATAATTGCACAATGTCACTGTTATGTTTTTAAATTTTCTTAAAGGAAAAACACTGGTTAGAACATATTTGACCACTATATATATATATATATATGTGTACATGTGTATATGTATGTGTGTGTATGTATTTATGTATGTGTGTATGTATGTGTATGTGTACACACACTCTAGTGCATAAGACCTTTAATGGAAGGGAAGTTTAATACAAGTGAGTTTCAGTGCTACCACTGACAGGCGGGGTTCAACCCCCAGTCAGGGAACTACCGTCAAGGCACAGCAGACCTCTTCCTAGCTTCCTGCTGCTCTCCTTAGCAGTGTAGTCAGTAATCTGGCTGTTCTGCTCCTCCTTTGTCTCTGGTGAACCCTCTCAACCCCACCTCCACAGCTCTGGCCTAAAGCCCAGTACTTCTACACAAAAATAAATAAGTAAAATCTTAAAAAGAATTTAAAAGAATAGACACAATTCAAAAGAAAAATGAAATAAGAGCATGGAAATAGGTGAGACTTGAATTGTGTTTCAAGTGTACATACTGAGAGAGGCCAGGGCCAGGGGAGACACCTGGCCTGGGGTAGCATAAAGGCCTGTGCATATTTGCATACAAAGTTCAAATCACAGCCCACTGCAAATAAAGGAGTTATAGGAAATTAAATATTTTGCTTTTGCTTAAGTTTTTTTTTTCAATTGAAGAAAAATATACAAAGGATAAGATGTCAAAATCAGTAATCAAAGGGCCCTCCCGGGTGGTGCAATGGGTAAGAACGCAGCACTGCAAGCTCCCCACTGCCACTGCAGTGCGAGCTCGATTCCCAGACCGGGAGTGACCCACATGGCGCAGCAGACCTCTCCTGACCGGCTCGCTGCTCCCCTCAGCAGTGTACTTCGTACATCTGCCTGTTCTGCTCCCCACTCTACGCTGGATGAATCCTCTCCCCTCCCCTGTACCTCTGGCGTGCACCCCAGTTCTCTGTATAAATAAATCTTAAAAAAATTAAAAATTTGGCTTGAACAATTTTAGTATGTCTTAGGACTACAAATTTCAATATCAAAATTTAAATAACCTTCCAAATTTTACAGTAAACATTGAATTTAGGATCTGGGCTTTTGCAATGATAAATGTATCCTAAAGTTATAAAAAATAGCCTTCATGTTTAAAGAGCTTCACATCACTTGGGCCTGTCACTGGTGTCATTCGAATTACATGTCAATGAATGTGTTTCCTGAAAGTCAGAGAGCCACATCCTACCTAGGCAGCCTGTCTGCAGAAATACCTCAGGACTTCTCAGCAGGTGGTTTGTAGACCTCCTGCCTCAAAGTTTCCCATGAATATGCCAAACACACTGACCATTTCAATCCCAGAATCTGCTTCAGAAACGTTGAGCTGGGTTTAGACCAGATCCCTGAGGAAATGTTTTGTGACTTCTTTTCCGTGCTACCCCTCCTGGTGGGTTGGGGCACCCCCTGGGTGGCTTGACCAACAATTGCCTGGTGGCACCCTGAGGCTGATCCCCTTTTCATAGGCTAATCAGCACAGTCCACTGTGGTTTTGCATACAGAAAACTACCTTTAAACACAGAGATACTGAGTACATAAGTGAGCATTTGCTCCTTGTTACTCTATTATGAACACATCAATACACGTGTATAAGGATCTATTCCTAACGGCTCTGCACTTCACCAACGAGATTAGCAGCAGCCTGGTGGGAATGCAAGCTAGTACCACCACTATGGAAAACTGTTTGGAGGTTCCTCAAACGGCTCAACATGGAGCTTCCTTATGACCCAGCAACCCCAGTCCTAGGTATCTACCCAAAAGACACAAAAACACTGATTCAAAAAGACACCTGCACCCCCATGTTTATTGCTGCTTTATTTACAATAGGAAAGACATGGAAGCAGCCCAAATCCGCAAAAGTAGATGACTGGATAAAAAAGATATGGTACATATACACAATGGAATATTACTCAGCAACCAGAAAAAAATAAACACATTCCTTTTGCAGCAACATGGATGGAGCTGGACGGGATCATGTTTAGTGAAATAAGCCATAAAGAAAAGGAAAAATTCCGATGGTTTTACTCATAGAAGGAATACAATGGATGAGGCAAGAAAATTATGATGATAATGAACAGCTATATATCAGAGACATTTTATGGGGCTGGAGTGGGGAATAGGATCAAAAACAGTGGGGGGGGGAGGAAATGCACTGGACTATGGTGATAGAACAGTGGTGACTTGGTGATGGGAAGCCCAAGGGATTGCAACTGAGATGGGAAAATGCACAAAATGACGTAAAAATAAACTATTATATTACTCATCAAAAAAGAAAAGTTAAAAATACTAGATGATAGGCCCTCCCTGGTGGCGCAGCGGGTTAAAGCACAGCACTGAGAATCTAAAGCCGCTTCAGCATGAGTTCGATTCCCGCTTGCCCCGGAGGTGACCACATGGCGTGGCA